TCGTTTCCGAACACAGTGGCCAGCTGCAGCGTCATACAATAATTATGGCCATCCAGGGAGGCCAGCTTGTGAAACTTGTGCAACCCTGGCCACTGGTGGCGTCGAGTCAGGTGCTCAGCCATGTCAGAGAACCCTTGAGTCTTCATGGGCTGCGAAGAACCAGCATTTGCTTCACAGCCCAATTTTAGGCTCCTAGACAATGTTCTCTTCCAATGACAGCTGCCAGAATACTGAGTTAGGTTAACTAGTTGTATTTTGACCCAACAGTACAGACATCGTATAAAAGCTAGTTCCTGCCAGGTGTAGAGGAACATGCACTTAGGCCCAGATTCTGGGACAGAGACAGGCAGATTTCTGAGATCTACAGAGTGACTTCCAGGCCAGCCAGGGTCTATGTTGAGACCCAGTTACATATAATTTATTTCACTGTGTCCTAAGGAAAGCAGGCTAATTTAAATATCATCTTGATGGCATTGAAGCTGTGAGTCCTATATCTAGAATACAGCTATAGTTGAAGCTTTCTATCTACTAGTTTGATACTTCTTGTTCCCTCCTCTATGCCCACCAACCTCTGTGCTCCAGAAAATGGGCATCAGCAGGAACCATCCTTTCCACATAACTATAGTAAGCCACAGACTGCCACCCATCCCCACGCCGATAATTATTCCTTGGCTGTTCCTAAATGATGAGCTGAACCGTCACCCACAAGGCAATCTGATAGAATAACAAACTTTTTCCCAGGACCCTGAACCCTGACTAACTCTCACGTCAGCTAGAATACAGCCCTCCTTAATGGCCCTTCCTAGGATGAGGGTAAGAGTGAAAATTAACACATTCTCCATGATAAAACAACAGAACAGTCCATGGAACTTTCAGAATATAATTACGGTGGCTGGAGAGATGGTTCAGCAGTTAAGAGCACATACTGCACTTGTAAAGGTTCCCAGGACCCAGGTCAGGCAGCTCATGACTTCCGTGGGGATCCAATACCTCTGGCCTCTTCAGGCATCTGCACTCACATGCATGTTCCTACATGTGCATACACGCACACGTGTGCACACACGCGCACACACACACAGAAATATAGTAAAAGTAGATCTTTAAATTCTCTACATATTTTGTAAACTATTAGCTGGACTCACCAGAGGGAGAAGGGGCTCTCCAGTTATTGAAATCAGGAGTGCAGCGAGCCCTGATACCTGCCTTACAGGAACAGCAGATGACGGAGGACTATTCTGATCTCCAGTCAAGTGACGAATGACTTAGACAAACGCCTCAAGATTCGAACTCTCTAAACAGTCTCTGAAACACAAACGGACCTGGATTTGAAGCAGAAAGTCTAGACTTACAGTTCCAAGGAGATGTAACCACTGGAACTTGCTACAGAGAAAAGCCCAAATCCAGCCAGTTTCACTGAGGAATCCCCAAGCATTTCAAGCAGATCAAGCACCACTTCTTCACAAACTAGTGTGGAAAAAAGAGTGTGGAATGTTTCTCCATTTGTTCTTGCGATCAGCATACCCTGATGTCAACACCAGACCAAGAAAATTACCCACTCACATCACCTAAGATTGTCGGGGACAAAATCCCCAGCGGGGCCCTGCAAGCTGAACCAGCAGTGGTTTTTGTCTTTTGTTGTATCCTGGAGACAATCTATTTGGGTTAACATCCAAAAAACAAAATCAGCACATTATACCATAGCCATACAATGAAGGTTAAAACCATATTGTCACAGTAGAAACAGAAAAAACAATTGACAAAAATTCCCTCCTTAGTAAAAACATACAACAAATTAGCAACAAAGAGAAATCCTGGTCTTAAAGAGCATGAAAAAAAAGTTCACTGCTAACAAGGGAGTGGTAAAGATTGAATTCCTTCCTCCAGTGCTATTTGGAGGCCATGCTGAATACTCTCTCCCTCACCCAAGGCCTGTGTGTTGGTTTGGTCTCCAGGGTAGTCCTACTGGGAAGTGCTGTGGACCCTTAGGATATGAGGCCTTGGGGGGTATCCTTCAGTGCCTAACTTTGATCTCAAAAAGGATTGTGGGGCTCAGTCCCGCCTGGTTTCTTGTCTTGATTCCTGGTTCACAAGGTGAGGAGTTTGCACTATGGCACAGCTTCCACCATGATGAACGATGGCCGCCGTCACTGAAGTTATGTAGAGACTTCAGAACTGGAAACCAAATGAGCTTTGTCTTCATGGTTCTGTACAGTGACAGCTGACGAATACGCCTTAATGTCAGGAACACAGCAAGGCTCCACATTTGTGCCCTCTCTACAACGGTGCATGCAGAGCATCTGGCCAGGGTGCTAGGCAACACAACAACGTAAAATGCATCCGGATTGGAAAGAGAGAATTCAAGTGACACCTGCTTGTAGGTGAGATGTCTTATCAGAAAACTCAGAGGTATCCACCAAAACCTACCAAAATCAAGCAGTTCAGCAAGACCAGTATACAAAAACCATTTGCTTCTGTGGAGTAACAAGGAACCAACCAAAAATTATGACAAACGGCTGAGGAGACAATGCTTGTCACGTAAGCATCGTGTGCTCTGAGGTTTTCTTTCAAAGCCCAGCTAGAAAACTGTGCTTGTAATCCCACTGCTGGGGAGGAGGAGACATGCCAATCCTGGAGCTCACTGGACAGCCAGACAAGCCAGTGAACTGCAGGTAACAAACAAACAGATCCTTTCTCAAAAACAAAAACAAGGTGGATGGCACCTGAGGAACCACCTGAGGTTGCTCTCCGGCCTCCTCCATGTGTGCATGTGCATGCCCACCTGCACAAAGACAGAAACATGCACGGAAACTATTTCAATTCAATAATATCCAAAAGAATAGAAATTTAAAAGTAAACCTCACCCAAAGTCACTACATAAATTTAGAATTATTAGGTGTGATGCTCTAAACTTTAAAGAGGGCCCTGACAGAGATGGAAGAACGTCCTTGTAGCTCCGAAGAGTCGAAGTTAACGTGAGGTCCATCCAGTCCTAAAACTCTCCCCACTAGATTTCCAGCTGCCTTCTTCACAAAACCTGGAAGCAAAAATCCATACAGAAATGCAGAGAATCCAGGTCACAATGGCTAACGCCTTTATTCTCAGCACTCTTGAGGCAGAGGCAAGAGGATCTCTCTGACTTGAAGGCCAGCCTGGTCTACATAGCAAGTTCCAGGCCAACCAGGGCTCATGTGAGACCATGTCTTACAAAGAAAACAACAACAACAAAACTCCAAGGGACCCAGAACAACTAAAACAATCTTGTAAAAGAACAGTCACGTTAGAGTACTCAAATCTTACAGTACTACAGTCTACAGTAATAAAGTCAGCATGCTGTGGTATTTACACACAAGCCAACATACAGATCTGTGGGATACAACTAGGAAGCCATAAACACAGTCTCACATGGGCAACTGACTTTTGACAAGGATATGAAGACAACCATGGGGGAAAAGACAATCTCTTCAAGAAATGGAGTTCAAACAATTGGATAGCCATTTGCAAAAGAATGAACCAGGACCCCTTTGTCACACCTTATGCAAAGGCTAACTAAAAGTGAATCTAACATCTAAATAAGTCCAAAAACTCATTTAAAAGAAAAACACAGAAATAAATCTTCACAGCTCTGGACAGGCCATGGTTTGCAGGCTATAACACCAAAAATATCGCAAGCAATAACATCCTACAATGGACATCACTAGAATCAAAAACATGTCCTTCAACATAACACCTCATAGAATGAGAGGGAGAAAATGCAGGTCATTTGTTTTGTTTTGTTTTTTATAAAGGACTCATATGTAGACTGTATCAGGAACTGTCAGATTTTGATATTAACGTAATAGTCAAAACATAGGAATAGATTTTTTTCTCCAAAGGCCGTCGGTGGCAGCACACGCCTTTAATTGCAGGAGGCAGAGGCAGGCGGATCTCTGTGAATTTGAGGCAGGTCTAGTCTTCAAGAGGAAGTTCCAGGACAGCTAGGGCTGTGACATGGAGAAACCCTATCTCGCAAAACAAAACAAACAAACAAACAACAAAAAGGTACATGGCTTAGAGCAAGATCACCTGGTACCCAAGCTGAGGGACCTGAGTTCAAATCTCAGAACCCATACAAAATGCAGGCTGTGGTCATGAATACGTAGCCCTAACGCTGGGAGACAGAAGAGAAGGAGGAGAGTTCCTGACCACTGACAGACCCCACCATAAGGGACTAAGGCAGTAATGGAGCAGGACACTCTACATCCGCCTTCATATTCAATTAGGTGCATGCACCCTCCTTCAAACACACACAGGTCCACACACACCATACACACACACATACACGCGCACACGCACTGGAGAAATTGGAATTTTCGTAACTACCGGTGACAATATAAAATGCTAACTGCTGAAGAGTCTAAAGACAGATTTATATAACCCAGCAATTCTACCTAGTGACATAATCCATAAACACGAAAATATATATCTATACACAAAATTGTTTACACAAAGTGATCAGAGTAGTATTAATTATAACAGCCAGAGTAGAAATCACCCTCTCAACCCACTAATAGGTGGATTAATTCAACATGCAATATATCCATACAAAGGAATATTATTCAGTAATGAGTGAGTTGAATTACCAATATATTACTGATACATGTTGGTGAAATCTGAATAGCATTGTCAGGAAATATGTCATATTGTCTTCACTTACAGGAACCGTGCATTATAGGCAAATCTACAAAGACAAATCAGTTAGCCAGAGTAAATGAGTGGATTGTGCTTAGTGGGGTGTGAGCCTGGGCAGTCATGAAAGTGCCCGAGGATGGACTGTAGTGAGTTTCACAATTCATTCACTACACTAAAAGCTACTAAACTGTATTCATTAAGTGGGTAAATTTTATAGAATTTGTTCACAACACTATTGAAAACATTAAGTTAATGAGTACTTAACTTTTTATTTTACCATTGGTCTTAGTTCCTTGTGTTGTTATAAACAAAAACCAGACTGGGCAACTTAGTAAAGCAAAGAGTAAATTTATTGCTCACAAAGGCATATCTCAGAGACACCACCAACTAGAACCACGGCACAGCAACAAGAGAAGGTTACAATCAGAAGAGGGACACAATTGTTATTGTTTGTTTGTTTCCAAGTACATAGAAAAGTTAGTTTAGGGCTAGAGCTGCAATTTAGTAGTAAAGTACTTGCTTAAAGCCCAAAATGAAAGGAAAAGAGAGAAAAATGTCCCCACACTATACCAGCAATCCAACAGGAAAACAGCCGAGCATGTGAGAATAAAGCGATGTGCACACATTAAAATATTTCATTGCGAGAAGTGTCTGTATGATCTGAGCTCTTGGACAGTGGCAATGTATGACACGCTGAGAACTGCAGTGAAGCAAACTGCCAGACAAGGTGTGTCTGTAGCCAGTGTGCACCTCTAATGGGACCTGTCATCCCCCACAAAATAAAGTAAAACAAAAACAAGAGCCCTCAGGACAGCAAAAGAGTGACTCCACCAGACATCCACTACCGCAGTAAAGCCCATGTTTGGGGACACATCCAAACCACAGTACCACTTGGCAATAAATATTTTTAAAAAACCTACCACTTGACAATAAATATTTTAAAAACCAATCTACTTTAAGAGAAAGGTTCCCTACAACAGGATATAATCAAAACGTACTCCCAACTAGAAAAGGCAAATCCAAAAAAAGTCCCAAGAATGCCGAGTCCCAGGAGCAGGGATGGAGTGCATGATGGCTTTGTATCAACACCTCTGTGGCAAACACAGCACCCTTGGATGTGTGAGTATCAACAGGTACAATTAGCCCACCTTTGCTACTTCTTTGGGGTAACGGCGATGATGATCCACAGTGGTCACGCAGCTTATCACAGAACATACGGCATCCCTAAAACGGGAGACTTCTAAGCACACAGCATCTTTTTCCATAATCTCGAGACATCCAGTGTTCACTGTTCTCATGAGGGCAGAGGAGGAGATTGTCGTGGCTATCAGGTGAATTTAAAATATCTGCTTTTAAATTCAGATTTAAAAATGCAAATAAAAATTTCGTTTGGAGCAAATACCCAAAATACAAATGCCAAAAAATAAAATCCCAGTTACAGCAATCTTCTCATAGCTTGAACCACTGAGGCTGAAACAGCCACTTTGCCTTGAAAGGAAAAATAATTATTTTGAGCAAAATTATTTTGAGTAAAATTCTTCCTGTTTGGAGGTTTTCATTGGTGGTGTTGCCTGAACATCGTCGGTCTTGTGATGTTGCCCAGGCTGACCTGGAACTCAAGATTGTCCTGTGTCAGCTTCCTGACTGCTGGGATTATCGATGTGAGCCACCACATCTGACTTAACCATTTCTTGGTCATCAGTAGGTTTGAAAAGTCGTCTGCGAATTGGGTTATTCAACCTCAAATTCTGAAATACAGAAGACACCTGTGGAGACGGTTTTTCAACCTGTTTGGAAAGAAAAAAAAAGTTAATTTTATAAAAACACACCTTGCCTACCATAGGCACTTCCATTCCCGACTGCTTCTAAAGAAGAAAGAATGCACTCCTCACAATCGTTGGAGGCTTGAGCAATCTACCAATGGTCTATGTGCTCCTTGGAGGATCACATTTGCTCCTGCCCCGTGGCATCCCCTGTACATAGCTAAGGGTCTGACATGGAGAAGGAACTGTGCATTGCCTAAAAACAGGCATCTAGCTTCTAAAAAGCAAGGGATGGGGCTTACTACCTAATGTGGGAGCAAGGCACAGAATTACAATGAAGGTTCCCTGTGCAAACTTGAAGAACCTGAAGATGGAAATGGGTCACTAGGCAACAGACCTGATGACTGCCAGGCTGCACACCCATGAAGACAGCTCTTACATGGCATATGGTCACACTCTTCATGCCCCTAGTGATGCCCAAGTAGCATCCACGAGGTCACCATGGTCCTCAGTTTTTACCATCATAGGAAAAAGGAAAAGAAACACAACACGTTTCCACAATGCTATCCCTGTACATTTTAGAGTTTGGGTGTAGTTATTCAACCACTTGTACCAACTTGCCTGAACTTCTGGAACCTGGATTTTGTCAAACATTATTCTAGGCATTCCCACAGAGGCACGACTGAATGAAATATTTAAGTCGGTGAATCTCTGATATGTGGATTACCTCTGCAAGGTGGGGGGACCTCATCCAGTCGCTTGAAAACCATAACAGGAAAAAGACCCTTGTTCCTCGAGGAAAGCCTGTGGCTGGCTGCCTGCCTGCCTTAAGACTCAAGCTGCAGCACTGTCTACATCTGGTCCTATAAACTCCCCTGCAGGTCTCCGCAATCACTTCAACAGGTTTCCTCCAATGCCGTCTACTGGGACAGACACACAGATCAACAGATGGACCGTGCAAATGGCTCTGTTTCCTGAAAGACTGACTAATACAGGGGCTGACCTTCCCTCGGCCATTATGATTGTCTTATCTAGCTTGCTTTTTATATCACAATGCGAATTTTATAGAAACATGTTTTCTGGAAATAACTGTTTTATCTGATAAATTTGGCTGTGTTGGCTCAGATAGTTGTATCAAAAAGCACAATTGTATTTTTCTTTTTCTATTTTTGAAGCAGGCAAGATAACAGGTCAACATTTCCCTTCAGGAATTTGTGTTTTTTTCAAAACCCAAAGCTGTTAATGTACTAGAAGCATGGAAGCAAAGAGGGGTCCAGTCATTAGTAGTGTCACGCAGACCATCATGACATTTGGGCCGATGATGAACTATATATAATATAATAGCAGTCCCCTGAGGTCAAAATGGATCTAAAAGTTTCCATTTGCCTCGTGCAGGGCAATAACCATGGACTTGTGGAGCCAGTTACATAAACCTGCCGATGTGGAAATACAGCACACTGTGCTTCTAGCTGATGCATTTATGGTCAACTTTGACTTTTATCATTAATTTAGAGTTCTCAACTTGTGGGTGGTGATCCATTTGAGGGTCAATTGACCCTTTCACGGGGTTACCTAAGACCATCGGAAAGTACAGATTGCAATTCCTAACAGTGGCAAAGTTACAATTAATAAAGTAGCAACAAAAATAATTTTATGGTTAGGGGGTCACGACAACAGCGTTAGGAAGGTGGCGAATCACTGATTTAGACTGTGATCCACGCACACTTTCTTACCCTAGGAAAAAGCACATGACGCAGTCTTACTGTGTCTTCTATTGCACCAAGAGGCCACCATAACCATAACCACCTATGTGGGTGTGAGCACACAGACAATATTTGCACCACAATGGCACGGCTGCCTAAGGAGGTATTTCTCAAAATATATCCTTGTAGTACAGCCGTATATGTCATCATGTGTTGAATTTAAATGCGGGTGTGGCTCGTGGGTAAAAACGTGAATTTGAAGGAAGGACATATGGACAGCCCTTGACACTTTTTCTTTCAAAAATGATATATTCTTCAAGAGTTATGGAAAGACAGAAGTGTCGAATTTGCCAGTCCTAACGTTCTGAATTCTGTTTCCCCATTTACAGGGATTCCTGTAGATACCGTATACTTTTGGCAAAGCCTGTGAGAAAGAAGAACATTATCTCCTCCCACGAACAAGCTTTGGGCTGATGTCATCGTGCAAGGACGTGAGCCAGCACACAACAGTTCCCAATCACTCTTCCCTTCGCAGATCTGCAATACTGGCCTTGGTCAAAAGTCAGAGGCTCCAGCAGACTCACGACTGGGGCTGAACAACACTGCCAATTTCTCTTTGTTCCACCACACACAATCATAACCCCCGCCCACTGTTGGTGAGAAGAAATATAACTCAAGAAACTTTTTTTGAAGGCTCTTTCTTTACAATTGTCTCTTTACTGGTCTGGTCAAAAGCCTAGCTTCAGGGCCTTTGCAAGCTTACTTTCAGGGGGGAAAGGTATCACACTAAGACGGAAATGGTGCATCAAATGTCACCTCTGCACCGGGGTGTAGATGAGGCTTAGAGTCACCATGGGATCTTCTATTGCCATGGAAGAAAAATGACTGTCCCTTTCCCCACAAATTGTTGCTTAGCCTTTTTTACTAATTCCGACAAATGATACCTGGAGCCTATGCCCAGGCCAAACACATGTGTGCCACTCTTGACCCAATGCCAGCTACACCTGACTCATTTTTAGGACTCAGCTCAGCCCCTTAGCATCTCTCCTGCCCTGTGGTAAGTACCTGACAGCTAGACAAATCACTGTACTCAGGGTTTCTGTATGCCAAGAACTTAAAGAGTTTTTCCCTAATCACCTTAAGAGTTTTTCCATTACACCAAGACCAAGGTCACCTCCTTGAATTTCAATTCACAAGCACTTACAATGATCCTAGGAATCTCCACTCCAATAGGAAGAATGGACAGTCTCTTTAAAAGAGTCTGTCCATCCGACCCAACTGCCCTGGGTCTGCAGGTTGTCCATCAGGTCCAACTGCCCTGGGCCTGCAGGCCGTCCGTCCGTCCCGACTGCCCCGGGTCTGCAGGCCGTCCGTCCGTCCCGACTGCCCCGGGTCTGCAGGCCGTCCGTCCGTCCCGACTGCCCCGGGTCTGCAGGCCGTCCGTCCGTCCCGACTGCCCCGGGTCTGCAGGCCGTCCGTCCGTCCCGACTGCCCCGGGTCTGCAGGCCGTCCGTCCGTCCCGACTGCCC